CTTACATTGGCATAGACCCCAATTCCTAAGCACTCGCTATGCCTAGAATTGTAATATCAATAATCTATTTTGGGACATCCTTACGGACTGCCCAACCATGATCTTAGCATCACATTACATCAAATTTGTCACTTGCATCACAATCAAGTACATCAATTACAATCAAATCCTTAGATTCGATTCCTTAACAATTACAACAATCATTAACTAGTATTTCAATACTATTAAGATTATTCTTATCCATCATATATTCCATTTGTAAAACCCTACATATTTAGAGATATTTAGCAGCAACTTAATCATCCAATATAATACATAACTAATCATTTATGTATCTACACAATTCACACATGTGTAAAATGCCTATTTCACACAATAGTTCATTTAACTCCATTTTTATCAATACTTTACGAAATCATTTCCCATTTCATTCTTTGGAAAATAGATCAATATTCCATCAACAATTTATCATCATAATCCATGGAAAACATGATTTAGGCATTTAGGTAATCTTATGCTTAACCTACAAGGTGTAAGCAACTAGATGTCGATCCTCACCTCAATTGAGCTTCAAAACCTTCCTTCTCGATCCAATGACCAAAGCCTCGGCCAAGGAAGCTTGAGAACTGATTCCTTGCTTAGAAATGATTGTCAAACAGCCTCCTCAAAGTGCTAGTTCAACCCTTAATCGTTGGTACGAAAACAGCCCCTAGAATGGGTGTTTTCCGGTTAACTCATTTCCTAGTTTTCCAATATTTGCTCTAGGTTAGTATCTAACCTTTACATCAATAAAATAACCTTATGAAGACATATTATACACTTGGAGTAGTGTATAATAGTTCCACTAATCGTTCATATCATTTGGAAAATGAAAAGTAAAGGTTTGGGGTGAATACTCACTTTAGGAGAGTAAATCCGTTCCTGCGAGGTTGTGTTTTGCTCGGACGATTTGGAAGCCTTCCACTACTCCGATTCATGCAAACCAGACCTTCACGGATTCCTCGTCTTGAGAGATTTCTTTTGGTATCTTATACGCCTTAATTGGACGATTCAATATCAAGTTATGGCTCAAACAATCAGCACTACGCACTGAAGAACGAACCTGCGGACTGCTCTCTTCCTTCCTTCTCTCTTGGGTCGTGTGGATGCGTTTTGCTCTCTTATCTCTTTGGGGTTCGAATGGGGTGTAGGGGGGAGTGTATAGAGAGCATGTGGCTCACAAAAGAGCATGGGAGATATTTGGTTTGCAATCAAATATGGGGTGGACCTCCCCCTTTTGTTTTTCTTGGAGTTTTTTTTTGCATGTGAGCCAAGAGTCCGCCCCATATAGTCATCTCACCTCTTTTCCTTTGTTTTGCAGGTACCAAGTCCATGTGGAATGGTTCCCAATTGACCCCATTCAACTTGGGGTCCAAAATATCTACCAATACTTCCAAAAATGGGAAAATGGGTCCTATTGTTTTATCTTTTGCTAAAAGATGTCTCTTGTACTCATCCTAATTTATTTAGAACAAGTCAACTTCCTACATCACATTATTGATCTCCAATATGTGTAGGCTCATCTCAATAATTTACATGATGAATATTATAGAAGGAAAAATCCTACTCCCATTATTCAACTCAATAATGTCAAAGATGAGACCATAGACATTTGTATTCTTCTCTAGTCATTCTATCACTTATTTTGACATTGTCATTCATATTATTGGACTACTATCCGTGTGGGTCACCCTCGAGTGAGCCTAGGACGCCATCCTTGAATACTTACTATTTTTAGCAGGTTGAGCCCAAAATAATGCTTGGGCCGCCCAACCCTCCTCAACTTGTCTTGAAAGGTTATGTATCACTATTTAGATAATGTTAGGCTCTTTTATTTATTAATAAGGCCCAAACGAGTATTCGCAAGCCCGACACTAATATACGAGTTCGAACAGTATAATAATCGATCATTAATTACGTAAAACAACAATCGTTTTACAATTGTTTGGGAATCAGAAATTTAATACATAAACTTTGAATTTTTAAATTGAAATTTCAAGGACGTTCGGGTGCGGTGTCACAATATATGTGTACTTACATTTATAATTATAGTAATTATAATTATAATTATAATTTTAGAAATATTCTAATCAGATCAGAAAGATTCAGATCAGATCAGAAGGATTCAGATCAGATCATGAACATTCAGATCAGATCAGGAACATTCAGATCAGATCAGGAACATTCAGATCACATCAGGAACATTCAGATCATATGAGGAACAATCAGATCAGATCAGAAAGATTCGGATCAGATCAGAAAAATTCAGATCAGATCAGATCAGAACTTAAAAAATTCAGATCAGAAACATTCAGATCAGGTTAAGAGAACAACTTCTTAGCCACTATCGGCCAATTCGGCGCCCAGGTGGAGTATTTTTTGCGTCAAAACAAAAGGTGGAGTACTTGTCTGCGGCGGAAACCTCTGCAGCTATCAGCACCCAGCGGAAAAAAGAACGATCACTAAGATATATATTACCCTCAAAGTTGAAACTAATCACAAAAAAACTTGGCCGTATCATGCCTTAGGTATAGCCGGTTGTAGGGTGGAATTTGCCCTGGTTCATGGTTAACTCATACTCGTATTATCATTAGTTTTAGCTCAAATATTGTATGGGGTAATTTTTTGGGGACCTTATGATATTTTTATTTGGACTGTAATCTGTCCCGGATCACATCACACCAGACTAGACCAGACCCGACTAGACTTGGATAGTTATAAGAATACAAAGACATCAGACATAACTAGACTAAACCAGATCAATTCAAAACAGACCAGCAAATTGCAGTCCACATGAAAACATCTTTACAAATATATTCGGACATAAGCTCCGGAAGAGTATTTAATTAATAAGTGAATGATTTCCCATCACAAACGTATTATTGAAGAAAGTTTATTTTATTTGTGGAAGATGTTGTCCTTCCTAACACAAGTCGATATCCTGCTTATGGTTTGGTTTCTAATCGGTTAGTTTTGACAACTTTGGCTTGTTTGAAAATTCAAACCAACGAACTACTCTGTATTACGGAGGTATAATATACGAAGTATATTGTGTTTAATATTTGTTTGGAAAAACTTATTAGCCGTACGTCACCAGAAGGTTAATGTATACCAAGAATCCCAAATGATAACTTGAAAGTGTTCCGTAAATCACCATTCGCATATATGAGTTGTTCAATAACTATTTTATTACCATTTTCAATGTTCTTCAATAGTTGATGTTGCATTCTTAAATTATAATTAAAGGCTTTATTCTGCAGTCAATGTTGTATTTTACGTAGTACGTAGTGTTACTTAATTAACATGTTTTTATTAGAATTTAAATTTTTGTATTTGGTCTGGTTTAAATTGGTTTGGGAAATGTCTCGTATTCGATCAATGAATACGCTTATTATTTACTTGGTCCTTTCATAAGTAGTAAACTTAAATTATTAATGCATCTGGTTCATGGTTAATAATATACTTAGTATTTAAGAGGGAGTAATTACCTACTTAGCAACGTTAGAAAACCTCCAATCAACTATTATTGTCCTAAAACTTAACAATGACATACAGAGTATAATTATTTGAAATATTGTTGTCCTTTAACGATCAAATTTTGAAGAGTGGGCCATGGGACCCCTTTACAAGTAGGAAGTACTTTTTATAACAAAAACTCTTAACAAGTACTTCATGGACTTATTATAGTGCTATAAAAATGTTTGGTATATTGTTTTTTTATATGTAATGTAGGTGTTGGAGTTTACGCTCCCATAATCATGAAATCTATGAAATATCATTCAAAGTTGCTACACATGTTAATCATAATTTGATCATAGTCAGTTTTGTTTGTACTGTTTCAACCAAATCCGCTATTCCACTAATACCATTATCATCCTCTTCCTTCTCATCCGCTGAACTATTCCACTGAGGTAGGGAGAATCATGGGAAGCAAGAGTTTTCTCATTCCACTGGGCGAGAACTAAACTCATGACCTCTCAGTGAGGATACTTGGAAGGACGTATATGCATGATTCATGTTTGATCTATTAAAATCTAGATGGATCTGGAATAATAAAAGTCCCGCGTACATGGTTATTTTACTAGTTTCTAATTAAGTCTAGTCTATTCGATTTAAGCACGATTTATTCTTATTTGATCTACAATGTTCTTAATATTTTACCATTTTGATTTAAGCAGAGTATGGCTGTGTTTGGTTAGTAACGTATTGGGGCAAAACGCCTTTTCTTTAACAAAGCAAAAGCTGAAATTTCCAGCGTTTAGCAAAAGCTGAAATATTTCAAAGGCATTGTATTTGTGTAGCTCACTTTTTTTGTTGTGGTAAACACATGTACTACTCGATCCCAACTCCGTGATAATCGCTACATGTTGATTTAAAGCAAAACCAACAAAAGATATTAATTGAATTAATATAATAATGGGTACAAGTTTCACGACAATCATATAGCAAAAGCACAAAGTAGAGAATAGATGAGAGGAATTGAATGAGGTACTGAAATCGACAATGATAAATGATGATTACAGATCAAGAATTCAATACTCCAAAATATTACGCACATAACTGGTCGTCCCATTAAATAAATAATCTATTTAATATACTAATAAAAATGCAATTAGTCAAATTGCACATAACAAAATACTACGTAATTCGTAACAATAATGCTGTACAAAATTCGGAATACTTCGTTCTTTAATTCTTGCAACATTGTGATTTTTACACTATTCACAGACCTTACTTTGACCACGATTTTCTATTAATATACATAATCAAATTATTATGTATAAAATGTTATTGAATTCCTATCAATGTGAATTTACAAAATATCAACTTTTTATAATGTTTACTAATACATAATTAAATATAATTACAGTCAAAGCTTTGCGTTGTCAAACGTAAAAGTCAAAGTGTCACAAGAATTAAAGAACGGATGACGATAGTAAATAATACGGAGTACTCCTCAATGTTTGAAAGAATAATTATGTAATTTATGTTAAATAGTACTAGTAATTCACTCTATAGACTATAGACTATATAGTATATACAGGCCAAAAATATTGTACTGTGCATATACGGAGTATTTATCAACCATTCATTATACGGAGTATTATACATTTATACAATCGTTTCATTACTTTTCTTTAGTCTGCCATCTCAGGGAAGCCACGGCTTGCGGCTCAGCTTCTTCGCGAGCCGCCGCGGAATCCAAAGCCGCCGCCATTCTTCGGATGGACCAAGCTTTAAGGTAAGACCTCAAGAAAACAAAAAGTACGAAGCTGTTAAGGACGGCGTTGAACCCCCACGCGCCCATCCCGTTGCACCCACCGCCTTTCCTGAAATGCAAAAGCAGGACGCCGACGTGGCACGCTGAGTTGGAGAGCAGGAAGCCGAGGTGGCAGTGAACCACCGAAGGAAGCCAAGCCGGGCGGCGGAGCCCCAAGTCTGTCAAAAACCTGCACGCGCTCGCGGCGGCGGACCCGAGCGTGGCGATGAGAATCGCGACGACTTGGAAGGATTGGGTGAACTCAAGCCACAGGAACGCCATGCTTATGAGGGCGGAGTGGTTGAAGAGGTGGAAGAGGGAGAGGCGCCGCCGCCGTAGTACGACGAGGTACGTCCGGAGGATGTGGAGGAAGCGGGAGAGGTAGAAGGCGTACGACCAGAAGAACACGCGCCCGATTGGGCGCGTCCCGATCGGGAAACAGAGAAGCCACTGGAACGGCGTCGTCCTGGACCGCTGCCACATCCACCGGGTGTCACGGATTTCCGCGGCGGCGGAGGATAAGGTTCCAAGAAAGATTGCTGAGGAAACTAGGGACATCGTCAGGCTGTGAAGCGCCGGGAGGTGGCCGACGGGAACGGGGCGGCGGCCGACGAGAAGGAGAAGGATGAGGTGGAGGGTAACGGAGGTTATAATATAAATGGTGATTGAGGTGATGAGAAATGACCATGTTGACCCCCACACTGATGAGTTCCACCGGAAACCGACGACGGAAGGATGCTCAGATAACCAATAGCTGATGCCCATCGTATATGTGCTTTATATACGACTTTGAGTGTTGAGATCAATTCAAACATTTGACGGCTATTATAGATTTATAGATTTTATACAAGTAATATAAAATGACATGGAAAAAGTAATACGAGTATTTTGACTAGAAGGTTGGGTCAATTCGTCCCTTCCTGCGATTTGGGTACATTCAGTTAAATGATTAACCATCTATGGGGTCATTGCTTAGTTAAGCACAACTTTTGGCCCTAAGGTTAAGTTCATATTTGTGATCTGAAAAAATGCATTCCAAAAAATGTCATCTTCATATACGCTATAAGTACTCTGGCAAGTCAGGTCGCTTTGTATGTGTGCAGGTCCGGTCCTGACATTTTATGGGCCCGGGACAATACAAATATGTTGGGCAATGTGTGGCTGACTCTAAGTCTATTTCTAGGGTTTATGATCGAATCTGTAATGATTGTCTTGCATTTTTACTCAATACTACGTATTAATGAAAACCGTTTTAACAATACAAAAAGTACATGCTATATATAATTAGTTACAGACATAACCACTCTGAAAAATAAATTTAATTGATGAATGAATGGAAATTAATTAGTGTTTTTATATCATTTAGAAATGTTGATATATACTCCGTATAAAATTACTTACTTGTAAATCACAAAAGTAAGACATGTGATTTTGAAATTGCAAAATTTATTGCTTTAGGGTGTTACATTCATGAAGTTAATTTGATGCATTTTTAAATATGGAGGTTAATGTGCAAATTTATATTTCACGAGAATGTTTGATACATAAAATCTAAAACTTGTTATGGATATTTTCAATGCAAACAACTCATTTGAGAACTACGATGTTGGAGAGTTTTTTATAATGAAAAAATGTTGTGTCCTACCCGATATTTGTTAATGGATTGACTTCATCAGTTCAAGGATGGATCTAAAGAAATTAGATCAAATTTAAATAGATCAAAGTTAAATAGATCATACCTAAACCGACTAAAAAGCCAGTCCAATTATGTGTAACATTGGCAACAATACAATTGTGTGTTTCCATCATCACTAAATAAACAAAGACGGAGATTCTTAAAATAAGAGTAAAAATAAAGTATTTTTGTTAATTAGGAGTATTGTGTTCTCTTACGTTTATATTAAAATATCAACACATTTTAATAAGTTGACAATAATTATGAATGCCACTATGTTAATATGGATTTAGGAGTATAGCATTTACTCCCGTCTTTAGGCAAATTTTTGGGCAATTTCTTTAAATGAAAATGTATTACTATAGCATGGTTGTTCATTTGTTTGAGAATGAAATGTGCCTGTCTTTAGGCAGATCTTATGATACAAATACAAAAACGGTTTATTCATCTGATACGCAAACTACCATAGCCGCTGAAAACCTTCCTGCTTTGAGTGCTTTCACTTTCTATTAAATAAACAAATAAATAGTATGCAGTACATATAAATACAACAATAGAAGTTGCTCAATACGAGTTCAAAACGTATATTAAATGTAAAAATAAATCTAATTAATTACGATAGTATATTTTATTTTCCCTATAGAACAATTATTTAAACATATTAAAAGAGAAAAAATTGATCAATACTTTTCAAAAGTATGAGTGAATTAGTCCGATTTTGATAATAATGATAATCTTATTTATAAACTTTGTCTTTGTTTAATGTATATTTAGGGAATTTTCTCATACTCAGCTCCTTAATTTGAGACAAAGATATTGTAGGTTTGAGGGCCTAATTGTGATCTACGAGTTAAGTTTCAACCTCCCGTTGACTTTTGTGAAGCTAAGAAGAGACCGGGAAGACGGCGATTATATGTTTATTTGGTCGTATCATTGACGAATTAAATTCTTGCGCTAAATTCTTGTGGTTGATTTCGGATCCGGCGTCTCTGCCTTGGTTAAGCAGCCAAGGAGGGTGCCTGGCTGTTTTCATCCATTAGATTAAAAAATGAAGGGTTGAAGATGAAGGGTTCCATTTTTTGCACGAATCTCGAGGCCTACTTTTCGATCTGTGCCGTCCATTTGAGTAAGGCACCTCTGCCTTAAGGCAGAGGATCCCAATCCGTTGATTTCATCCAACAAATTATCTTACCAACCTGGCCCCGCCCCCACGACTTTAACCACTTCAATGAAAGATCGCGTGAGTTACTGTGTTGTGCTGAACATCCGGAAGAAATAATGAACAAAATTTCCAAGACTAAGGGACCGTTTGTAGAAAATGAACAAATGAATAAAAGTTTTTTTTTTTTTTTTCATTTTTTGGCTTTAAATTATTGAAATAGGTGTTTTCAAGTCACAACTTCTGCTTAAATCATTCTACATAATTGCAATACTTCTAAAGAAACCATTTTCCCGCTCACACATATTGCTATTTCCACCGTTAGATCGCAAAATAGATCTACGGCATTGGCTTCTCAACTTCTCAGCTGTCTCCTTCAATTCGATCTACGGCATTAGCTCCTCAGCTTCTCCTTCCTTTCGACTGGAAAATTCCTCAACTCCTCAGCTTCGCACAAATCAAATTGCTTTCCAATTCTCATCGCTCAATTCCTCACTTGAACAAATCGATTGTTGAAGAGGCAAGGCCAAAATTGCAGAAGAGTTGTGAGAAGTAGCAGAGGAAGATGAAGCCATGGTATGGTTGTAGAAGAAGAGGCGATACCTCTGAACTCAGCCACTGTACCGCTCCTCAGTTCTCATCTCTCAATTCCTCCCATGAACAATCGATTAATGAAGAGGCATGGCCGAAATTGCACATGAATTGGGAGTAATTGCAGAGGGAGACGAAGCCATGGCTGCAGAAGAGGATACGCCCCCGCATTCTTCTTTGGTGCCACTTCTCCTGGCCATCTTCGTTAGTAAGCGATGAGGTACTGTTCGTATTTTTATTTAGCAATTTTATTGATTTTATTAATTAATTTTATCAATTCTATATTCTCATTTTCATTATTCTATGATTCAACCAACTATTTTTCTTCTCATTTCCGTAATTACCAATTTCAATATTGGCCGAAATTGCAAATGAATTGGGAATAATAGCAAAGGAAGATGAAGCCATGGCTGCAGAAGAGGAGAGATGCCCCTGCATTCTTCTTGGGTGCCGCTTCTCCTGGCCATATTCGTCAGTAAGCAATGAGGTACTGTTCGTATTTTTATTTAGTAATTTTATTTATTTTATTATTTCATTTTCAATTCTTTATTCTCAATTTCATTATTCTATTATTCAACCAACGATTTTTCTTCTCATTTTCGTAATTACCAATTTTAATATTGTTTGCTTACTCAGATATGGATAATAAGCTCAAGTTTATTGAGCTTTTACTTGAAGATGATAGCAGAAATTTTTAGCATTCATTGGTTGTTAATAAGCTTTCTAAATTGGTTAGATCTGAGTAATAAAAAGGGATATGCTTCAGATTGTTTTTTATCAATACTAAAGAAAGTCAAGCATTGTGAAAAACTAAAAATACTACGAACAATCTGTTTTAAAGATTGCTTAATACTACCTCCTTTCGTAGGTGCAAACTTAATGAAATAGACAGGGAAAATTGTCTTTTCCTTCCTCTTCTCGATTTCAAGATGTAGAAGTAGGTCGTTGGTTGAGTAGTGTTGGTTCCTCTTGTTAATTAGGATTCAACTAACTTCCCATAGTCAACCTCATCGAGGTAATTGATTCAATTTTATTTTATCTTATTTTATTGGTTTACATGTACTTTTGTATATCTTTGTTTTTTCTATATTTAGTTAATCAACATTGTTATGGAAATCCTATGATAGCATCAAATCCCGGAGATCTTGATAGTTGACATAAGCATAAGTTTCTAATGATCCTCCCATTTTTTAATTTCAATTAGGAATTAAGACTTATGAGTTATGACATTCTTTTTATATTAGAAATTGAAGTGATGATCTAACTGTACTTTGATGAGTATTAACAAGGGCTACAGTTTGGATCGTGAATTTGTCATAGTTAGTCACTTAGTCCTCAAGGCTTTGTTCTGAAACAAATGTTTGTTCAAACTCACTTTTTTTACTTCTTAAACCCTTATATGTATTTAATTGGTCAAACTCAATCGTGCTCCTCTTTATATTCTCCTTCACTTTTAACGTTGAGACTTTATCACACTATTTAGTATTAAAGTATTTAAAATAGATGACTATTTAAATCTGAAATGTCCTCTTTGCCTATTTTACCTGTGCAGTTCTAATTTCTTTGCTATTATTATAGTCATTCTGCACTGTTGCTAGGAGGATCCTTCACCAAATTGTTCTTTTATTAGTACTCCATCTGTTCAGAATAAGGTTCTCAAATTTAAATATAATAGTAGTATCATGTTGTTTAAGATCAGCTCTCACTGTACTTGACTTCTACCACCTACTTTAGATAAATGAACTTTGAGAACATGAGAAATCAAATAAAAGTCATGTTAAAAGTCATATTAGAATGCCAAATCAAATATGAGAAATAAATTAATAAAGTAAAATTACAATTAGAAATCTTGATTTTTGAGAAACCAGATTGATATATTAAAAGTCATGTTAAATATATCACTTAAATGGTGGGTAAGTAGTGGAACATCCATCTTAAATCACAGAGAATATGTAACATGTCGTTGAATCCCATTTTATCGTATAGCGACTTCAGTTGGTTGTTCTTCCAAATGGGGTGGAGTTCATTGTTATTATTATTAGTTATTTTAAGATAACATTGAATATAATTTACTCTATCCAATTAGGAGAATTTGGGCCAAAAGGCTGAACTTTTTGTGTTTTCCTACTGTTTGACATGGCTGGAGATTTATCTTTTTATGGGTTTTCTAAAATTGTAAGCGGCTGCTGCTTTTTATTATCAAGAATGCTTTATTGAGGTGATCCTTTCTCTGTTTCAGTATCTACTCTTATATTATTTTAAAGGTAGACATTTTTTCTTAAGACTATGATTACATTATCTCTTTGTTTGGATTTCGTATCCGAAAGGGGCGTGTTCTTTAAGGGTTGACATTAGACCTTTAGTTCCCCTTTGGAG